CCCCCCTCCCCCCACCCCGTGAAAGGCAAGGACTCGGCAGCCTCAGGGCCCACCGCAGGCCAGGGAACCTCAAGGGAGGTGCAAGCAGAGGTCACGGCTGGCCCCACATGCACGGTGTGACCTTGGGCAGCAGGGGGGGCCTTTTGGGGTTTGATGGACATCTGTAGGATGTCCACAGGGGGATGCCCCGGCACCCACTGCCCTGGGTGGTCCCAGCGGGGCTAGAGCAGCCAGTGACATGGGACTGCCCCGTACAGATGCAGAGGCTTCTTCAGAGAGTGGCGGCGGGTCCCATGCAGCCCTGCGCCCCACTGTCCCGCAGCCCACAGAGCAGAGAGGCCAGCATGGTAAGACTGGGCAGGATTGGAGGGCGACTGGGGCTCCACAGCCTCACACAACCCTGGGCCAGACCAGAGAGGATAAAACCAGCCATGGGGGAGCCTTGGGGATGGGGACGCTCAGTCAGTGGGTGAGGCAAGCCCAGCTGGGCTGTGAGACCATGCCCTCACTCCTCTGCTAGGGGAACCTGGTGACAGTCAGTCACCACGCAGCCACAGCATTGCAGAGAGGGCTGTGGGCCACCTGACAACCCACCTGAGCCCTGGAGGGGCCATAACGCCTCACCACAGTCCCATCCTCAGTCGTCTCACTGACCCCACAGTGGTATCCTCCAGGTACAGGTGCTGGGCACACTGGCTGTGCTGTGGCTTGGCACTGTGACCGTCGCCTACCTCCTGTGGCAAGTGCTCCCTCCTCCAACCCGGGGCCAGGGGTACTCTCAGGAAGTGCCCACGAGACCCCAGCCCCAGGTGAGTGACTCCAGCCCAGCCTGGGAGACCCTGAAAAGGGAGACTGAGGGGCAGAGCGACTCCTGCAGGTAAGTGAACTCACGGGGCTTGCGGGGGCAGGGGGCGCATTCTCAGTGGCCGCGCTCCCACCACTGATCTCCCCAGGGAGGTGGATAGCTCAGACCTTTGCCAGCTCCTCTGGGGAGGTGAGGGTCATGGAGGATGGCCTGGACCGTATTGGCTGGAGGTTGCAATCTGTGGAGGTTGCCATCTGCAGGCTCTGGGAGTTCAGCATGGTCCCCAAGGCTAGGACCTTTGTTATCTTTCTGCCCCTGGGGTGGTGTCACTGTCCTTCCTGCCTTTCAGTCTTCCTTCCACTTCCTTCCCTTCTCTTGGGCCCTGGAATCCCAGAACCTCCTCCAAGGAACCCTCAGACCACCCTGCCCATGCACTCTGGAGAGGGCTCACCTCTCTGCCAGCCCCTCCCTCCCAAGTCGGCTCTGGCCACCTCCAAGGGCTCCTACACTGGAGGCCACCCGGACTCCACAGCTCCACTCAACTCCAAGAGCACCTGCTCCCAAGGGCCGCACCTGGGATTGGGATAGAGCCTGCCACCCAGCCCCATCAGCCCTGCTCTAGACCCAGCAGCCCCTGTGCCCTCAGACTCCTCCCTGGGTTGGGTGTCCCCACCCTCAGCAACTTGCTGGGCTGAGGGCCCGCCCTGACCAGTCTGCTTTTCCACCCTTGGCCTGGACTTGGTCCTGGGAGCCACATTGGCAGCTGTCTTCCGCTTGACCCAGGGGATGGGAGCAGGTGCCATGGGGCAACCTGGTGGCTCCTGGCTCACGCATGGTCCACCTGGCTTCCTCCACAGGCTCGTCCTCGTGGAAAGCATTCCCCAGGACCTGCCGTCTGCAGCCGGCAGCCCGTTGGCCCAGCCACTGGCTCAGGCCTGGCTGCAGCTGCTGGACACTGCCCAGGAGAGCATCCATGTGGCCTCATACTACTGGTCCCTCACCGGGCCTGACATCGGGGTCAATGACTCGTCTTCCCAGCTGGTGTGCCCTGGCCCCCAACTCTGAGGCTGCAGGCTACCCTGCCCTGTCCCAGTGCCAGGCACACAGTCAGCCGGGCTGCCCATCCATGCAGCCGTATCATCACCCGTGCTGGGCTCCACTCAGTGGTGGAAGCTAGCAGGGACCAGGGGCCAAGCCCCTCCTGTAGGGGCTTTTGGGGAAGAGGTGTCTGGGTGGGCTCTGGGGGGCTGCACCTGGATGCAGTTCAGTCAGTTAAGGTTATCTAGATCCTTGGCCAGACTGTGAGTTGTGGGCAGTTAGGGCTACTGAGGGAATCCCTGAGGGGAGGCCTGGGTCCTGGTGGAGTGCAGGGTGGAAGCCTGGAGGTTATCTCTCATGGCCGGCCCGGCCCCGCAGGGAGAAGCCCTTTTGCAGAAGCTGCAGCAGCTGCTGGGTAGGAATATCTCCCTGGCTGTGGCCACCAGTAGCCCGACCCTGGCGAGGAAGTCCACTGACCTGCAGGTCCTGGCAGCCCGAGGTAGGTGCCCACACGGTCCTGCACCCTGCCACCCTGACATGGAGCATGGGCTGTTTTGCTGGCACCACGGGACAAGGACAAAAAGGAGCAGAGCTGCCCAGGGGTAGGGGACAGGAAAGGCTTCCTGGACTTCCCAAGGACACCCCGGGAAGGCGGGATGCAGGATTCTGAGCTCCTTTGAGTTCCTTCACCAAGAAGCCCAAAGTGTCATTTCCCATAGGGCAGAGCACAGGTGGTCTTGGGGCCCTGCTGTGTAAGCGAGAGGCAGTGGGCACAGTCACTACAAAAGCAGGCTCTGGAGGGACCCAGGGCCAGCCTATGTCCTGGTTTCCTCACCTGTGAAATGAGGATAGTAACAGCACCATTAGTGGGATTTGTGAGCACCTGTGAGTCTACCCCACTGAGAAGCGCTTAGAGTTGGGCTCACCCTGAAGCTAGTCCTTAGTAGGAGCTCATCCTAGCAACCTGAATCCTCGTCCAGGTGCCCAGGTGCGACGGGTGCCCATGGGGCGGCTCACCGGGGGCGTTCTGCACTCCAAATTCTGGGTTGTGGATGGACGGCATATATACCTGGGTAGTGCCAACATGGACTGGCGGTCCCTAACACAGGTGAGTTCTGGGGCCCTCCCACCTGGAGCTCCTCCCCTCCTGCACTGGGGGCTTCAACTGATGTCCCAGAGAGCCTGGAGAAAACTGCATAGCCCTATTTGTAATGTCACCTTGGGGGACACTATCGGAGCTGGTTCAGTGAGTTCTGGACAAGGCCACTAACTCATGTTGTGGAGTGTCTTCTGGTGACATGGAGAGAGGTCAAGTCACATCATCCAGGGAAACGTGCAGATCTCAAACCACCAGTCTTTTTAGAAAGAGCAATGCATGGAAAATTGTATCAAGGGCCAGGCACGGTGGCTCACACCTGTAATCCCAACACTTTCGGAGGCTGAGGTGGAAGAATTGCTTGAGGCCAGGAGTTTGAATCTATCCTGGTCAACACAACAAAACTCCATCACTACAAAAAATTTTAAAATAGGTGGGCATGTTGGTCTGTGCCTGTAGTCCCAGCTACTTGGAAGACTGAGGAAGGAGGATTGCTTAAGCCCTGACTGCATTGAGCTATGATTGCACCGTGGTGCTTCAGCCTGAGCAACAAAGCGAGACCTTATCTCTAAAAAATAAGTTTTGTGCCGGGCTCGGTGGCCCAGCCTGTAATCCCGCACCTTGGGAGGCTGAGGTGAGTGAATTGCCTGTGCCCGCGGGTTCGAGACCCGCCTGGGCAACTTGGTGAGACCTCATCTCTACAATTAAAAAAAAAATTAGCCGGGTGTGGTAGCACCCGCCTGTAGTTCCAGCTACTCGGAAGGCTGAGGCAGAAGAATCGCTGGAGCCCAGCAGGTTGAGGCTGCGGTGGGCGGGAGCGGCCACTGCACTCCAGTCTGGGTGACAGAGTGAGACTCCAACTCAAAAAAAAAATAATAATAATAATAATAGTTTTTGTAATGTGTCAAGGCATGATCGCGGCAATGGCAGTGGTGGTTCTCACCTGACAGTGGAATTAAGAATGGTTTTATTTTCCTCGTGTTTTGATCCATCTTCTATTGTTTCTTGTACTAAACATGCATTGTTTTGATCATTGGAATACAATGCAATAAACCAGGGGCCCACGGGACATACCCAACACACTCTACTAGCCTCCTGCAGGTGGTGCTGCTGAGGTGGGCAGCACGTGCCTGGCACCCTGGCCCAAGGTGGGGTGGGAGCCCCACACAGACCTACCTAGGTGCTTCCTCTGCAGTCACTGGCCCTGGGGTCCCTGCAGGTGAAGGAGCTTGGCATGGTCATCTACAACTGCAGTCACCTGGCCCAGGACCTGGAGAAGACCTTCCAGACCTACTGGGTGCTGGGGGCCCCCCAGGCCGTCCTCCCCAAAACCTGGCCTCAGAACGTCTCATCCCACATCAACCGCTTCCGGCCCTTCCGGGGCCTCTTTGATGGGGTGCCCACCACTGCCTACTTCTCGGTAAGGCGGGCGGAAGAGGGGCTGTTGGAGTCCCCTGTCCTTCCCTGCCTAGCCAGACCACCAGCAGTGTTCTCAGGCAGCGAGTGCCGTGGGTGGGTCTGCAGTCTCAGGGTGGTAGGCTTGGCTCCGGGAGGACACCTAGTCAACGCCATCCCTGGGAGACAGGCATCCTGGGAGGTGGCAGCATGTCCTCGGGACCTGGGAGTCTCCATAATGTTGGGCGGGTCAAGAGGTGGGAGTGCGAGACAGACCAGTTGTCCTGGCAGATTCCCCTTTGTGGGACCACGTGGTAGAGGTGGGCAGCCCTCCAAGACCTCCAGGGTCTGGTCTATAGCAGACGCCACCAGAACAAGGGAGGGCCCCCTCGGTGTGAGTCCCACCCTGCAGGGCATGGAGACGCTTCCGGGGCGGGTGACTGTCTCCAGGAGGACAGTCCAGCCTGGTCCCGGGCACTGCCTGCTTCCCAGCTCTCCCACCAGGCCTCGGGCCGGCCCCAGGGCCCCTGATAAGATACCCCCTCCCTCCCCACCATCCAGGCACCTCAACCTCCTCCCTCCACTGCCTCAAGAGGCCTCTGGGGTGGTACCTGATGGGGTTGTGGGTCCAGTCAGGGGTAGGCAGCAGGGCCCTCAGGGATGCCTTCCCTGGGCCAGGCCTCGCCGCCCACACTCTGCCCCCACGGTCGCACCCGGGACCTGGACGCGCTGCTAGCAGTGATGGGGGGCGCCCGCGAGTTCATCTATGCCTCAGTGATGGAGTACTTTCCCACCACACGCTTCAGTCACCCCCGCAGGTGGGTCTCCACAGAGCCACGCAGCCCTGGAGGCGGAGGCCGGCTCTGCTGCCCAGAGGCTCCTGTGCTCCTCCCCTCCTGCTGAGGCTCCTGCCCAGCCCAGGGCTTACAGGCAGGACCCTGCCCTTCCCTCCCAGGTACTGGCCAGTGCTGGACAATGCACTGCGGGCGGCAGCCTTTGCCAGGCGCGTGCACGTGCGTCTGCTGGTCAGCTGCTGGCGCAACACTGACCCTGCCATGTTCCCTTACCTGCGCTCCCTGCAGGCCCTCAGCAACTCCTCAGCCAACATCTCCATGAGTGTGGTAAGGACCCCCCCCAGCACCAGGTGGTGGGGCAGATGGCCCCCTCTTGCCCAGCTTGACACGTTCCCCCTCTGTTCCCCAAAGAAAATCTTCATAGTGCCGGTGGGGAACCATTCCAACATCCCATTCAGCAGGGTGGACCACAGCAAGTTCATGGTCACGGAGAAGGCAGCCTACATAGGTGCGTGTCTGGAGAGGCTTGTGGAAAGCTGACTCAGGACCTTTGAGGCTGTTGAACCCAGGGACCCAGCCACACACACAGGCCACACAGCCCACAAAAGGAGGACATGGCCCAGGTGGTGGCCAAGCAAGGACTTGTGTCCAGCACGAACCTCTCAGGATGGAGGGACTGCTGGAGGGGGTCTGGGTCTCAAAGAGAGTTCTGGGGACTGAGCCACCAGCCCGACTGTCGCCAGGCCCCACGGGAACAGGTGAAAAACCCTGAGCACTGGGGCCAGAGACCTGGAGACAACTGTCCAGGGTGATGTGGGTGGACTCCACTATGACCAGCAGCCTCTTGCCTTAAGTGGGGGCTGCTCTGCTGGAGTCTGAGGACAGCAGGGTGCCCACCCATCCCCAGGTTAGCAGCGGGGGGGAGGAGGGAAGGAGGGTGGGTTGCAGCACAGAGCTGCAGGGGCCTCTGTGAGCCCAGCCCAGCAGCTCCCCCCACCCACTCCCCCCAGGCACTTCCAACTGGTCGGAAGATTACTTTAGCAGCACCTCGGGTGTGGGCCTGGTGGTCAGCCAGAGGGCCCCCCACACCCAGCCAGGGATGGCCACCGTGCAGGAGCAGCTGCGACGACTGTTTGAGCGGGACTGGACTTCCCGCTATGCCGTAAGCCTGGACGGACAAGCTCAGGGCCAGGACTGTGTGTGGCGGGGCTGAAGCCCTGCTCTGCTTCGCTCCAGGGCCCTGCAGCTCTGGGGGGGATGCTGCCCCACCCCATGCCTCCTGCTGTTCCTCCTGGGCTTCACAGCTGCTTCTGCCCATGCCTGCCCAGGATCAGGACTGCCCACCACTGCTTCCTGCAACTCCCCAGAGGGTGCTGCAGACTGTTTACTTGCTCTCTGATTGCCTGACAGTCCACCTCCTCCAGAGAGCCCCCAGGATGTCCCTCCTGACTCCTGCAGAGCTGCTATCCTGCCCACTAGCAAGGCCTAAAGAATACTCTTGCTCCCCACTCTGTGTGATTCGGCTCGGGCTGCGCCCCCTCATCCTCCACGGCCCCTGGGGTCCTGAGAAGGACATGTGTTCATGTGAACCTGACAAGCCATGCCCCATGTCCACTGTGGTAGCTCTGAACCAGCCCGGGGTCCACGGAAACCAGGAGAAAAATGAGGGGAAGAGGCAAGGGATGGGGCAGGAGACGGGATGAGCAGGGAATGATTAAGGGGACAGGGCAGGGGACGGGGAAGGGGATGGGTAAAGGGATGAGGCAGGGGACGGGAACAAGAGGGGACATGGAAGGGGGCAAGGAAGGGGACGGGGCAGAGAACGGGACACGGGACAAAGGGGACAGCAGGGAACGGGTGAGGGGGGAGGGGACGGAGCGGGGGCCAGGCGGGGGGCGGAGCAAGGGACGAAGAAGGGGCGGGCAGCGGGAATGACCCACTCGGGCCCAGCGCCCCCAGACAGGCGGCTGAGCTCCGGAACCGAATTCGGGCTCTGCTGCTGCCGGGGGAGGGAGGAACGCAAGACTACGCGCAGGGGCCGGCGAGCGGGGCGCGACAACGGGCGGCCAGGGCGACACCAGGATGTCTCCTACGGTGTCAGTTGGGCAGGTGCCAGTGCAGGGAGGGGACCTAG